GAAGAGGGGGGTGGAGTGGGCCCTGAGTGTGAGACCCTAACTCAGCAGGGATAACGTCAAGCTGGGGTCAGAGAGAGGAGGCCTTTGCAGGGGGGGCTCCCCGTTGCAGTAACCCCATGAACGCCAAACTGATTTCAGGCCTGGGCTCAGAAAGCCATGGGTGGGTCCCAGGCTGGGTGGCCCCCTCGCAGACTTACATGGGCGGGCGCTGACCCGGCAGGGCGCTGCCGCGATACCTGGGGGCCGGGCCACCTGGTGCAGCTCCCGGAAGGTGAGTGCGACCCCCAAAACAAGGCTGCCACTTGGGGCAGCCGGGAGTCCCCACCCCCATCCCCATTGCTCTTTGCACTTGGGATGTTGAGGGCAGGGGCAGGGTTGGGGGCAAACTGTTGCTTGAGGCGCCCTTTGCATTTGACCAACCCAAGTGACATGGGCTGAATTTCTTAACAAAAAGGGCGGCCTGGCCTGGCAGCTTCGTTGGTTAGAGCATCCTCCCACTGCACCGAGGTTGTTGGTTTGATCCCGGGCCAGGGCACATACAAGAACCAACGAATGGTCCTGGCCGGTTTGCTCAGTGGATAGAGCCGACAGCCTGCGGACTGAAGGGTCCCGGGTTCCATTCCAGTCAAGGGCTCATGCCTGGATTGCAGGCTGGATCCCCGGTAGGGGGCGTGCAGGAGGCAGCCATTCAATGATTCTCTCTCATCCTCTATCTCCCTCTCCCTCTCCCTTCCTCTCTGAAATCAATAAAAATATATTTTAAAGAAAAAGAATCTACGAATGAATGCATAATTGAAACAATGAATAGGACTCTCTCTCTCTCTCTCTCTCTCTTTCTCTCTCTCTCTCCCCCTTCCTCTCTGCTGTGGGAGGTGAGGAGGTCTCCTCTCCAGCCCCTCAGTCGCTGGCTCTGGGGCCCCACCCCCACTCCCTCAAGTCAGGAGCAGGGAGGGGTTGGGTCAGACCTGAGAGGGGCCTGGGCTGGGGTGGAGGAGGCTTGGCTTGTCCTGCAGCTCCTGGGCCCACTTCCCTGCTGAGGCTGGTCTGTGTGGCTGCTCTCACCTGAGGCTGGTTCTCTGCAAAATGTTGGGATTTGAGGGACTTGGAATCCGGTGGGTGACCAGCTCTCCCTGAATATCTGGAGGAAGCCCTTGACCCGACCTGTCTGGTGCAGGAAAGTGGCAAGTTTGGATCTCTACCCCTTCTCTAGCTCCCCATCCTGGCTACTCTGATGTCACCAGGGGCTCCATTCAAGGTTTCTGAATCAGTCTGCATGGGCTGGGTTATGCTTCAGTGACAAACAGCCCCTAGATCCCGAGACTCACACCGTCCCGTGAGCCCCTGAGTGAGAGTGAGAAGGGATGATGGTGCCCTGGCTCTCGAAGCTTCCACACCCACACTCATCCCCGTGGCTGAAGCATACGCCTCGCCTCACTCCAGGGCTACAAGAGGAGCAGTGCTCTGGGTGGCAGGTGACGGCACCCAGGTCTACAAGGGGTACAGGCCCCAGGTAAGTAACATCACTTGTACTTTGCCAGGGCCCTTTTAGGAGCACAATACTTGAAACCCAAAGAGTTACTGACTGGTTGGAATGTTCGGTTCCTGGGCAGAGGTGAGTTTGGGGGTTGGGGGTCATGTTTAGTCCGGGGACAAGAAGAGCCCGTCAGTGCTGCAGCGCCACAGGACACTGTGCCTGAACGCCGTAGGGTGTGAGGCGCCTGCCACCCAAGCAGGACCTGGTGAGCAAAGGGCCGGGTGTGCTGAGAAGCCCGTCGGCCATGAACCCGAGCCAGGCCCTGGCTCCGCCGTGGGGCTCAGTCTCTCTGAGGAAGGGACCCCGAACCTGACTTTCTGAACTGAGTGCTGGCTTAGGATAGTGGGTTATGGGGAAGCGTCAGCTTTCGAAAACATTTCCTTAGATGTTACGTTTTACTAATAAACAAAAATTGAGTTTAAAAAATGCAGTGGGAGTTTGGAAAAAGCCCAATTTCAATGGAGCCCCCGGACAAAGGGGCAATCCCTGCCCCACACGCCTTCTGGGATGTCTGTTCACTGAGCTCCGGGCGGAGGGATGTGCTCTGGGTCTGGCCGGCCGCCCCACCCAGGCATCCTTCCACCCGCTACCAGAAGGAGCAGAGCCCCTGCCGTGTGTAGCAGCTTGAGCTTCAGTGGCCCGGGCGTCAGGGCCCAGCCCAGGGTGCTGGCTGCCAGGTGTCTGCTCCCAACACTGAACAGAGAGAAGCCTGTGACCTGGGCCCCCCTCTCCCCACCCCCACCCCCGCCTTTCCAGGGGGGAGGGTAAGCACCTCACAGGGCGGAAGCTGGAGGCCTCGGGCCTGTGATACCTTCCAGGACCGAGGCTTTGTGAACCGGGTCCCCGCCATCCAAGTGGGGGAGCAAAGCCTGGGTCAGCCTCACCCACCCCAACTGCCGGGGCCAGCAGTACGTCCTGGAGCCGCGACCACCCCAATTTCTTCTGGTGGAATGGCCACGACGACCACATGGCTCCTGTCAGCCTGTGGGAATGGCAGGTGGGCACTGCACCCCACGGTGTTGGGCCAGATGACTGAGGCTCAGGCCTGGCCCAACATGGGACAGTAATGAGGGAGCATGGCTCTCCCAGCTTTAAGAGCTGATGGGCCCCTACCAGGTTTGGCTCAGTGGCTAGAGCGTCAGCCTGTGGACTGAAGGGTCCCGGGTTTGATTCTGGTCAAGGGCACATGCCTGGGTTGCGGGCTCGATCCCCAGTGTGGGGCATGCAGGAGGGAGTCAACCAATGATTCTCTCTCATCATAGATGCTCCTATCTCTCTCTCCCTCTCCCTTTCTCTCTGAAATCAATAAAATGTATCTAACAACTTTTAAAAAGCATGATATAATTTTAAAAAAAAAGAACCCTGATCGGTTTGGCTCAGTGATAGAGAGTCGGCCTGCGGACTGAAGGGTCCCAGGTTCGATTCCAGTCAAGGGCATGTACCTTGGTTGCGGGCACATCCCCAGTAGGAGGTGTGCAGGAGACAGTTGATGGATGTTTCTCTTTCATCGATGTTTCTAACTCTCTATCCCTCTCCCTCTCTGTAAAAAACCATAAAGTGTATTTAAAAAAAAAAAAAAAAGAGCTGACAGGGCCATGGGCTGTCTAAGCCAGAGGGACAGGCAGCACAGACCCAGCCACTCCCATGTGCGGGGGATGCTGGGAACCCGGGGGGAGAGCCCTGGCCCTTTTATGCCTGTATTTTCAGGCATGTTTCAGGAAAGCTCTCACATTTCTGATACCAAAATCTTGCTGAATTTTCAGCTTACAATGCTGTTGGAAATACTAGAAGTTTGGCTTTGCTACCAGATGGGGGAGCTCTTAGCTGTAAAGCAGTGGTTACTAATGTTGTGGCCCCACCCCATAACAAAGAAACAGAATTTCCGGAGGATGAGGCCCAGAAATCAGGATTTAAAAAAGATTGCCAGGCCAAAACCGGTTTGGCTCAGTGGATAGAGCGTCGGCCTGCGGACTGAAAGGTCCCAGGTTCGATTCTGGTCAAGGGCATGTACCTGAGTTGCGGGCACATCCCCAGTAGGAGGTGTACAGGAGGCAGCTGATCGATGTTTCTCTCTCATCGATGTTTCTAACTCTCTATCCCTCTCCCTTCCTCTCTGTGAAAATTAATAAAATATATTAAAAAAAAAAAAAGATTGCCAGGTGATTCTAATGTGCAGCCAAGGTTGAGAACCGCTGCGTAAAGTAAGGCTGCTCTGGGCCTGGTGCGTCCCCCAAGCAGGTCCTCTTGCAAAGAGCATTTTTCAAAACCCTTCGGTGCTCTGAGGCGGAAAGAGGGTGGGGAAGCTCCATCCCTGGGCAGTAAGCGTGATTTGGGGGCAGGAGCCAACAGGAGGCTGCCATCGCACAGTGTGTAGGTCCTCCTGACTGTGTGTCTAGTTGTCCCCACGGCAGGATTTGAGGACTGGGTGTTCCCATTCCTTAGGATTTTCCCAAGTCACAATTCCTAACTGTCCTACTGTGAGTTCCGGGTGGACTGGTGGGAAATGGCTGATGCCTGAGACCAGGGTGAGTGGCTTGCAGGGCTGGGGGTACTGGTGAACATCTGAGGAACCCAGAGAAGGGGCCTCCTGTCTGGGGTTATCCTCTCTTTTCTTTTCTTTGTCCTATCTAATAATAGACAAACATGGTAATTAACCGTACCTCTGACACACTTCCCATTGGCTAATCAGGATGATATGCAAATTAACTGCCAACCAAGATGGCGGCCGGCAGCCAGGCAGCTGAAGCGAACAAGAGGCTTGCTTGCTCCAGTGACAGAGGAAGCCAAGGTTCCCCGCCTGCCACAGCCCAGCTCTGAGCTTCAGATGCAAAATGTTGCAATTATTGAAGCTAAACAAGCTCCAGATAGCTGCTTTCAGCCAGCAGCGGGCTCAGAGCGCGGAGCAGCAGTGATGGCAACAGAGTTTCAATTATAGAAGCTAAACAAAGCCCAGATATCTGCTTTCAGTAGA